CCCCTTTCAGCCCTGAGGGGCCCAGCCCTCTCAGAAGGGGCAAGCATCTTGTTTACTGCTACAGCAAGTAATTGATCCCAGATGCAGTACCAGTATGCGACGTGGTCAAGCGACCAATGCTCCTTGCAGTCCAGTGTTGCAAAGTGTAGTTTAATAAAAGACAGTCCATCTCTTACCTTAGCAGGACAATTAAGGAAATCCTGCTCCCACTTTATTACCATGGTAAAGATAGTGTACACTGTTGTCTATGCTTAAGACAGCAAGAATCAAGTATTCTGCTTTGCTTCACAGAGAAGGTTAGCAAGGAAGCAAAAAGTACTAGGTCAGCGTTTTCCTTTGTGTGCTAGGGGCAGTGATGGTGTAAGAGGCTGTGGCGTCTTTATATTACTTTTGACTCTACTGAGAGTCACACTGATGCCAGGATAACCAACAAAGAACACTGATCCATGCGTTAGTGTGAACAAAGTGTCTCACAAAACACAATTAAACACTTACAAAGAAGTGTGATCAGCTTCTTCAGTGATAAGACTGTGAACAATAAAGACAAATCTTGCGGAACATAGTGTACCAGTGTGCGTATTCCTAGACTATGGAAGACATGGACATCCAAGGACACTTCAGCTTCTATCAAGTCACGATACCTGTCGAAGGTGTGAAGAACACCATAGCTCACGCTACAAGAGCAAGGTAGGTTACAAATTTCTTGTACGGGGGACTGCGCAGTTCTTGAGTCACAAGGAGTTTGTAATCAACCTATAGTTGGCAGTGAGGTGCGGACTTTTGAGTCACACAAGTAAGTTTGTCAGCAATCAGTGAATGAAATATGCTGACATTCTCAGTAGTAGTACCAGTTCCTAGTAACCAGTTACCAGTAACCAGTGTACTCTCAGTAGTAGTACCAGTTCCTAGTAACCAGTTACAAGTAACCAGTGTACCAGTAGATGACTCACTACCAACCGTCTGTGTGAATCACTGTTATTCATATTGCTGCTGACCATAGCAGGATTTCAAACACCCCTCACCCTGTAGGCACTTGTGGGTCAGTCGAAGATAGGGAGCAGAGAGAGGCAGGTTGGCTGTTGGCGCTTCCCATACTTCCCGTTATATATTATACGTACTACCAGCCTACGTGAGTATTTTTACCCATCCATGTTATCGAAAACCCACATGACAACATAACACCCCCAAGGGGTAATTTATTGTTTACATAATATGATCTATTACAGCCCGTTGAGAGATGATCATGACAACAATTCAAGACCTCGTCTGCAGGGGCGGCTGTGTAGACGATTTGCTGTCTTTTATCAGCTAAGTATTCCCTATATTTAAACTATATCTTAGCTGGTAAAACATTTCTCAACAACTCATCTGAGTCTTCAGCTTCCAATTGTGACCCCTTATTTCTGTGTCCCATCTCTGGAACATCCTGTCTCTGTCCACCTTGTCTATTCTGCCCAGTATTTTGTATGTCGTTATCATGTCTCCCGGACCCTCCTGTCCTCCAGTGTCGTCAGACCGATTTCCCTTAACCTTTCTTCATAGGACATTCCCCTTAGCTCTAGAACCAGTCTTGTTGCAAACCTTTGCACTTTCTCTAATTTCTTGATGTGTTTGACCAGGTGTGGGTTCCAATCTGGTGCTGAGTATTCCAGTATGGGCCTGACGTACACAGTGTATAAAGTCTTGAACGATTCCTTACTTAGGTACTGGAATGCTATTCTCAGGTTTGCCAGGCACCCATATGCCGCAGCAGTTATCTGGTTAATGTGTGCTTCTGGCAATGTATTCAGTATTATACTCACTCCTAGATCTTTCTCCTTGAGTGAGGTTTGCAGTCTTTGGCCTCCTAGCCTATACTCTGTCTGCGGTCTTCTTTGCCCTTCTCCGATCTTCATGACTGCATTTGGTGGGGTTAAATTCTAGGAGCCAGTTGCTGGACCACGCATCCAGCCTGTCCAGGTCTCTTTGTAGACCTGTCTGGTCTGCATCTGATTTAATTCTCCTCATTAACTTCACATTATCTGTAAACAGGGACACTTCTGAGTCTATCCCTTCTGCCATGTCATTCACATATACCAAGAATAGCACTGGCCCCAGGACTGACCCCTGTGGGACCCCGCTCGTCACTGGCACCCACTGTGATACCTCGTCATGGGCCATGGCTTGCTGTTGCCTCCCTGTTAGGTATTCTCTGATCCATTGCAGTGCCCTTCCTGTTATATGTGCCTGTTCCTCTAGCTTCTGTACTAATCTCTTGTGAGGAACTGTGTCGAAAGCCTTCTTGCAGTCCAAGAAAATGTAATCAACCCACCCCTCCCTCTCGTTTCTTACTTCAGTTACCTTGCCATAAAACTCTAGTAGGTTTGTGACACAGGATTTGCCCTCCATGAATCCATGCTGGCTGTCGTTTATAATCTTGTTCTGCTCCAGGTGCTCCACCACTCTCCCCCTGATAAGTGTCACTGACCAGTGTCAGTGACACTGGTCTATAATTTAGTGCTTCATTTCTGTTTCCTCTCTTAAAGATGGGGACTACATTTGCCTTCTTCCAAACTTCAGGTAGTTGCCCAGTTTCAAGGGAAGTGTTGAAGATTTTGGTTAGTGGCACACATAGTGTCTCTGCTCCCTCTCTAAGGACCCACGGAGAGATGTCCGGTCCCACCACCTTTGAGGCATCAAGGTCACTTAGGAGCTTCTCCACCTCCTCCTCAGTTGTGTGTAATTCATCCAACACTTGTTGGTATATCCCTTGTTGATGTACCCCACTGTTTTGTCTTCCCAGTGTCCCTTCAGCCTCCACTGTAAATACTTCCTGAAATCTCATGTTGAGCTCCTCACATTCTTCCTGGTCGTTTCCTGTGAGCTCCCCACCTTCATTCCTCAGCCTGATTACCTGGTCCTTGACTGTTGTCTTACCTATGGTGCTACGGTGCCCCGTAGCCTGTGTCTTACCTATGGTGCTACGGTGCCCCGTGCCTTACCTATGGTGCTACGATGCCCCGTGGCCTGTGTCTTACCTATGGTGCTACGATGCCCCGTGGCCTTCTTACCTATGGTGCTACGGTGCCCCGTGGCCTGTGTCTTACCTGTGGTGCTACGGTGCCCTATGACCTGTGTCTTACCTATGGTGCTACGGTTCCCGTGGCCTGTGTCTTACTGGTGCCCCGTGGCCTGTGTCTTACTGGTGCCCCGTGGCCTGTGTCTTACCTATGGTACTACGGTGCCCCGTGGCCTGTGTCTTACCTATGGTGCTACGGTGCCCCGTGGCCTGTGTCTTGCCTATGGTGCTACGGTGCCCCGTGGCCTGTGTCTTACCTATGGTGCCCCATGACCTAGTGACAAAAACTCTCCCTTCACACCTGGACCCATTATGTACTCCTGTAATCTTTTGACTACCGCCCACAGGATGGGTATGGGGCGCATAATAAACATATTAAACTTCACACGGCGAGGGTCCGGGTTCGATTCCCAGCGAAGGGGTGGAAATTTAATAATAATATCTTTATTTACTACAAGTACATGTACATGGTATACAGGCCTAGCTAACATCAATGACATACTACTATATAGAAAGCCCTTTTGTTCTGCTGAGTATTTCAGGCAAATTAGGTCAGTTTTGTCCCAGGATGCGACACACACCAGGTACCTATTTTAAACTAGTGGGTGAACAGGGACATGGACAGCAGATGTCTTATGGAAACACGTCCCTAATGTTTTCCAGCTGTACCGGAGGAGATTCGAACCCCGAACCTCAGTGTGTGAGCTGCGTGCACTAGCAGTAGCACTCACCCATCAGTAAAATAGGTACCTGGGTGTTAGTCGACTGGTGTGGGTCGCATCCTGGGACAAAACCGACCTAATTTGCCTGAAATGCTCTGCATAACAAGGGACTTTCTATAAAGTAGTATGTCATTGATGTCGGCTAGGCCTGTATACCTTGTACATGTAGTAAATAAAGACATTGTTATTTTTATAATTATTATTTTGTGTAGATTATCTAGGATAATCCAAAAAAATTAGACACCTCTCGTGAGGATTATTATTATTATAATCAAGGGGGAAGCGCTAAACCCGGAGGATTATACAGCGCCTGGGGGGGGGATGTGGAAGGCATTCAGGCTTAATTCGGGGAACTAGAGCACAGATCCAATTCCCTAAATCAAGAGCCCCTCACCAACATCAAGGAACCTTCCTTGAGGGGCTCTCGTGAGGAGTTGTTATTCGTATACATGTACATCTTTAATGATAACAACTGTGTATAAATATTATTATTATTATTATTATTATTATTATTATTATTATTATTATTATTATTATTATTATTATTATAAAAAGAAGCGCTAAATAAATATTTAGAGATGGGTAGGCTTTTCAGAAAAGAAATATGAATTCAGCATTATACATGATGATAGGACATGACTACAGCACAACGCATAAATTCATCGCGTTTATATGGGTACACTGGAGTGCTATTAGCTATTTCAGGTATTTGTGAACGGGATAAACTATTTTATAAGCCTACAACAATCTTGTGTTTGCAGTAACCATAGTAGAAAGGTAAAATAATGAATATAAACATTAATAAACTCAGACTGAACTTTGTGAAGTTGCTGTCATATAGTGTCTTAATCACTGGCAACCTTGTTGCTCTGGGAACATTAGTAAGTTTATTCAGGTACAGGTGCACATAAATACAGTTACATAAATGTCATATATAACAGTCTGTGTAGGTTACTCAGGACAACCCCAAAACAGTTACACAAAGTAACTTATTTCCATTGAGATCCTTATAGACCCTACGGTAATCTTGCGTTTAATATAAGCAATATATAAATAAAAAAAAAATCTAAAATCATCTTGTAATAAATTTTTAAGAGTTGTAAGTGAATTGTCCTCATACACTAGCGGCATCACTATTCCTCTGGAAAGCACTATTCACAGCCAAGAAACAGTATAATATTTAATGCACCAGTTGCATAAATTTGAGACAATCAATTATACAATTTAACTTGAATAAACCTCTATATATCAATAAATAAGGTTGTATTAACAGCGTTACTATTGTTGTGGTGAGACGTGTCAGTGAGTGTGTTGTTGTTGTTGTTGCAGGTGTCACACCTCTACAAGGTAGCAACGTACTCTGTCGTACTGTCAACCTCAGGTGTGTACCTCACTCTCACACCCTTCTTTCAGCTGTCATTGTTATTATTGATTGATTATAATCGTCATGGAGAGCGCTAAACCCGTAGTGGGTATACAAAGCTAGAGGGGGTAAGGGAGGCAGTCAGGTTGGACGCAAGGACAGGGGGGGAGCAGGTATATTTCTTGGATCAAGAGTCCTTCGCTTGAGGAGGATTGTTATTGATGAATTATGACACTTGTGTAACACTTGGGTGCCTTTATTGTGGAAACATTTCGCCAACTAATGGCTTCTTCAGTCCAGTAGAGAAGAAAGATTGAAGATCGGAAGGAGTTTGAGGTAATCAGTCCCTCAGCTTAGAGTTGATGTCATCTGTCCATCATTCTTAAAAAGAGTGCAGCATATGCTGCACTTTTTTCCAGGCTGAGGGACTGATACCTCAAACTTTCTTCTCTGTATTGGTTACCCCTCAAGGGGTGAGGGGCTCTTGATCTAGGGAATTGGATCTGTGCTCCAGTTCCCTGAATTGAGTCTGAATACCTTCCATCCCTGCATACGTGCACTGTATAATCCTACGGGTTTAGCCCCCCCCTGCATGATTATAATAATTCTCTGTATTGGACTGTGGATGTTACTAGTTGACAAAACTTTTCCACAATAGAGATACCTAAGTGTTATACAAGTGTCTTAATTCATTAACCTGTCAGTTCTATGAACCAGTTATCTACTGATTTGTTGTTGTCACAATGAGTTAGATTTATCGTTCAGTGCTCGGCTCGCTACGGATAAAACTGAGACGATGTATGAATGAATCCTGACATTTGCTGCCCATTACCCACCATTAGGTATGTGAATTTAAGACATCATACATGGTCATTTATCTTTTATCCTCTTTACTATCAGCCAAAGATGGCATGTCAAATGCCATCAAATTATAAGTAAAGCAGGCTGAACGTACTGATGCTTTTAGCTCTGGGTGTCATTTCGTATTTTTTTTTTTTAGCTTATTTTGTTTTAAATATATTTCAGTTGTGGTTAATGCTTCAAATGATGTAGTGGAAGTTTTAGCAGTAAAGATCGAGAACCAAAATCTAGTCATTGTGGTAGTCTACAAGCCTCCAGATGCAACGTCCCAACAATTCCAGGAACAGCTTTTGAAAATTGACCACTGTCTGGAAAATCTTCCAGCTCCTGCCCCCAACATCTTGCTCCTGGGGGATTTCAACTTCAGGCACCTAAAATGGAGGAATATAGCAAACAATGTTGTTGCAGTGATAACACCAGGAGGCAGCTCAGACGAGAACCCACACGCACACGAGCTTTTAAATCTCTGCACAAAATTCAACTTCAACCAGCAAATAATAGAGCCTACTAGACTGGAGAATACACTGGACCTCATCTTCGCTAACAGTGATGATCTGATATGAAATGTCGCCATATCAAAAGCAATATTCTCGGAACACAACATAATCAAGGTTCAGACATGTATGCGCGGAGCCCCAGACCGACAAAATGAGATCAGTCACGAGGGAGCTTTCACCAAATTCAACTTCAATAACAAGAACATAAAGTGGGACCAAGTAAACCAAGTCCTAAACGATATAAGCTGGGAAGATAGACTAAGCAACACAGACCCCAACTTATGCCTAGAACAAATTAATTCTGTGGCACTCGATGTATGCTCAAGGCATATTCCTTTAAGAAAAAGCAGGAGTAGATGTAAAATAGAAAGAGACAGGCGCTCCCTTTACAGGCGACGGAAAAGAATAACAGAGCGACTAAAAGAGGCCAATATATCTGAAATACGTAGGGAGACACTGGTCAGAGAAATAGCAATCATTGAACTAAAGCTAAAGGAATCTTACAGGAGTCAGGAATCACAGGAAGAACTAAAAGCCATAAATGAAATTGAAAGAAACCCAAAGCATTTCTTTTCTTGTGCCAAATCAAAGCTGAGAACATCCAGTATTGGGCCCCTACTTAAACAAGATGGGGTCCTATACACCTTTAATATACCTTTGAAGAATTTCGAGAGTATATCTACTCTGAGCTCATCTGGTGCTTGCCTGGTCAACCAGGTTGTTGCTGCTGGAGGCCCACTGCCCCACATACCCATCACAGCCTGGTTAATCTGGCACCTGGTGAAGATGCTTGTCTAGTTTCCTCTTGAAGGCTTCAACACTTGTTCCAGCAGTGTTTCTGATATCTTCTGGTAAGATGTTGAAAAGTCTGGGACCCTGGATGTTGATACAGTATTTCCTTATTGTCCCCACCGCACCCCTGCTCCTCACTGGGATTATTTTACACTTCCTCCCATATCTCTCACTCCAGTATGTTATGGCAGTGTGCAGATTTGGGACCAAGCCTTCAAGTACCTTCCAGGTATATATTATCATGTACCTCTCTCTCTCTCTGCTCCAATGAGTACATGTTCAAGACTTCCAGGCATTCCCAGTAGTTTAGGTGCTTTACTGGCTCAATGTGAGCCGTAAGCTATCTCTATTTGTTCCAGCTCCAATATTTTTCCTGCCCTGAATGGGGTCATCAGCACTGAGCAATATTCTAAGTGAGGGAGCACTAGCGATTTGAAGAGTGTCACCATCGGCATTATTTCCCTTGTTTTGAAAGTTCTCAATACCCACCCAGTCATTTTCCTGGCTGTCGTGATCTTTGTCTTGTTATGGTCTTTTAAAGAAAGGTCAGCTGACATAATTATTCCTAGGTCTTTTACGTGTTCCTTACGTTCTATTTGGTGACCCTCTTAAGTTTTGTATATGGTGCTCCTTTTGAGTTCTTCATTCTTTCCATAAATAAGCAGCTGGAACTTATCACCATTGAACGTCATGTTGTTTTCCACTGCCCACTGGAAAACCCTGTTCGTCTTCCTGTACTTTTTCAGTGTCCTCTACCATACTGACTTTCATGCTTATTTTAGTGTCATCTGCAAATGAAGATACAAAAGTTTGCCAGGTATTTTTGTCTATGTCTGCTATGAGGATGAGGAACAGCAGAGGTACCAGGACAGTGCCTTGGGGCACTGAGCTTGACCTCACTGATGCTGGATCTTGCCCTATTCACTACTACTATTTGTGTTCTGTATGTTAGGAAACCGAAAATCCATCTGCCTACCTTCCCCGTAATGCCAATGGCCTTCATTTTGTGCGCTATCACTCCATGATCGCATTTGTCAAACGCCTTTGCAAAATCTGTGTAAATCACATCTGCGTTTTGGTCATCTTCCAGTGCCTCCATAATTCTGTCATAATGGTTCAGCAGCTGTGACAGACATGATTGTCCTGCTCTAAAACCATGCTGGTTCGGGTTATGTTGGTTGTGCTGCTCCGTGAAATTTGTAACCTGCCGTCTCGTCACTCTTTCGAAGATTTTTATGATGTAAGGGGGTTAGGGCTACTGGTGCTCTACTCTACTACTAGTGCTCTACTACCTCCCTTGTGTAAAGGAGCTATGTCTGCACTCTTTAAGGCCTCCGGTATTTCACCTAGATCTAAGCTCTTTCTCCAAAGAATACCGAGGGCTCGTGCTAGTGGTACTTTGCATTTCTTTATAAATAGAGCATTCCATGAATCTGGTCCAGGTGCTGAGTGAGTGGGCATGTTTTCCATTTCTTTTTCAAAATCTATGGGATTTGTACTAATGTCAGTTAGTTGGTCTGCGCGGCCTTCGTCTGGAGTGAAAAATATTTCTGCATTTTCTACCTTGCTGTCATTTAGTGGGCTGCTGAACACTGGCTCATACTGCTCTTTTAGGATTTCACTCGTTTCCTGTTCATCGTCAGTATATGAGTCTCCTTTCAGTAGTGGTCCAATTCTACATGTAGTTCTTAGCTTGGATTTTGCATAGGAATAGAAATATTTTGGGTTTCTTGCAATATCAGATGACAGCAAGGAAACGAGTGAGCTATTCAAGTCCCAATATGACTCAGTTTTTAGGAAGCCGCTAACCGGGCTGAGAGTCGAAGATCTAAAGGAATTTTTTATGAGAGAGCTACAGAATTTGGTAAACACAAGCCTATCTGATGTTATCCTGATGCCAGATGACTTCGAACAGGCGATAAATGACATGCCCATGCACTCTGCCCCAGGGTCAGACTTGTGGAGCTCAGTGTTCATCAAGAACTGCAAGAAGCCCCTATCACATGCTTTTGACATCCTATGGAGAGGGAGCATGGATACTGGGGTCGTCCCACAGTTACTAAAAAAACAGACATAGCCCCACTCCACAAAGGGGGCAGTAAAGCAATAGCAAAGAACTACAGACCAATAGCACTAACATCCCATATCATAAAAATCTTTGAAAGGGTCCTAAGAAGCAAGATCACCCATCTAGATGCCCATCAATTACACAACCCAGGGCAACATGGGTTTAGAGCAGGTCGCTCCTGTCTATCCCAACTACTAGATCATTACGACAAGGTCCTAGATGCACTAGAAGACAAAAAATGCAGATGTAATATACACAGACTTTGCAAAAGCCTTCGACAAGTGTAACCATGGCGTAATAGCGCACAAAATGCATGCTAAAGGGATAACAGGAAAAGTTGGTAGATGGATCTATAATTTCCTCACAAATAGAACACAAAGAGTAGTAGTCAACAGAGTAAAGTCTGAGGCAGCTACAGTGAAAAGCTCTGTTCCGCAAGGCACAGTACTCGCTCCCATCTTGTTTCTCATCTAAAAATTAAATATTTGCTCGTCTTTGTAGTCATTTTCTTCAGTCAGTCTTTTTAGATCATTAGGAAATCTTGCAGCTGCCTCATTGTCTGCACTGGCACTTGGACCAGTAATTCGAACATTATGGAGTCCCCTACTCTTTTTGAAGTTTAAAAACCAGCCATTGAATAGATTAGTTGCTTTTGAATCATTATCTGTCTTGATGGAATTCTTTTCTGGCTGCAGTCTTCAGTCCATAATAGTAAAAGACGTTCCATATTTTCCACTACAGAACTACAATTTTTAACAGTCCCTTTTGACATGTACGATGCTGTAGCCATTCCATGTCTTCTGGTTTATCTTTATTCCTTATATGCACACGTACCGATACTTCGTTCATTTTCTTGTCATGTGCTATTTTAGCATATGATGCACCAGCTCTGTTTTATAATTTCTAGTTTTTCATCTAGTGTTAACCATTTATGTTTGCTAGAACACTCAGCATCGTTGCATTTCCTCTGTCCACTCATATTTGCATATAAAAGAGGTACTAATACTTTAAATAATAAAGAAAAAATAATTTTTATGCATGTACTGTATAAGACTACACAATTTCTCTGCTTGGAGTCTGGAGCGATACTGATTTTCGCATCGTACTAGTTCAGTACATAGCAGTAGGCCAATATCGGTGCATAATGTAGTTACATAAATAAAATTTATATTAAATTTATAAACCATATTATATCAAAACCCATGTTGTTCAAAACCATACTGTGCACATAATTTATAAATTTTAAGAATTACTTTTTTAAATATTCTTTCAGAATGATCTCGGACGTTCAGCTGGCTGTATTCGTAAACATCCTAGGGGTTTCTCTCTTCCTTATGGTTGTCCTCTACCATTATATATCTGCCAACAACCCCAAAACACACTAAGACACTCATGTGGATGAGGCATTGCATCTGTGAGGGAAGGTAAGGTTAAATAATTTTCTACAAAGATTGATTTAGTTGTGTATTCCTTTAAAGAATTTTAAATACGTATTTGCCATTGATACCTATATGAGGATAAATCATGATAAATTTAACTGCATGCTAGTGACATAGTGTGTTAGTTTCATTATGTTACTAACATATCTAAGTGATTTTCTGATCTGTTAAGTAGTTTATATCTTGACACTACTGTATAACTGCATATACTGTACTCTCAGCATTTGTTATGAGTATTGTAAATTTAGAGCCAAATTTGCAGATGCTGAATTCATGAACCCTGAATTTATATTTGAATAAGAATAATAGAATGCATTTTGTAAATCTGTAGTGTCCTGTGTGTATAATATCATTAGAAAGTTGTGCTACTTTGAGTTTGGTTTTAGGACAAATGGATCAAAGGAAAATGCAGTATTAATTATGTGTAGCATATTTTTTAGTAACAAAATAAGTACTCGAGACGTTTCACTTTGAAAGAAAAGTCTTGGTTGAAGAGGCAAGAAAATAATGAGAAACATAGGGTTGACTCCTATTCTTCTCACATGGGCACTCTTGTTGTATCTGTAGGCTGGTGGGTCTGCTGCCATGCACAACTAAGTACATGTATTATATTAGGGATATGTTCTTGTAAATAACAACAGCTGTGATCATTGTAGCTGAGTGAGTCTTTTGGCAGGGGTTCTTGATCAAACCCCAGGTTCTCTTAAGCTATGTAACGCCAACAAAAATGAAAAAAGATAGTGTGTGTTGATTTTTCACCTCATTTTGTTAGAATTGTGTGATGTAAAGACAGCTTGTAGTCAGATGATCCAACAAAGCCAAGAGGTTTGCAGGTGACTGTGCTTTCAGATGGATCACTCATTACTGAGTAAGGAAGTTGACAGTTTTTCATGTCAAACTCTGCTAGGAGTTTATCAAACTTTCCTCTTTATAAGATGTTGGTTGGAACTAAAAATTATAACATGCTGAAATTTATGTTGAAGGAGAAGGAAGTCTTCATTTTCCATCAGGAAGTTGGAGTGTACTTGTTGCCATTGAGATTTTTACACTGCACATACTGATACAGAGGTATTAGAGTTTATGCATAGCCTCAAGAACATCATTCCCAGGTGAATATGAATGACAACGTCAGTGAGCTGGGCATAAACACTTAGGAAAGTATATGTCAGTGCCTCCTCCTCCTTGACCTTGCCTGTCCATGAGGTGTAGCAAGCAATTCTAGGAAAACTTTCCAGAGTCCTAGTGTCCAAAAATATTTCAACAATGGTGATTGTGTCATAGCAATGAGTGTTCATGCAACTGCGTGAGCTCACCAGCAGTGATAATGAAGCCCCTAATGTTTGGGAAACAAGATGCTGATAAACTGGCTCCACATGTTTGTGTTCATCTTGACTAAATAGGTTAGTAAGGTGCTTGCTTTTGAGATGGGTAGGACACTGGGGCAGCCACTGGGATGTAACTCTGTGGTTTTGTATAAGGCACAAAATCACCTGCTGAGCCAAGATAGGAGTAGCAGGATAGGTGACATGCGTTTACCGATTCTAAGATCCTGCTGGCTTGTTCCGAGAATAAATCTCTGAAAAACTGGTGATCTCTATTAAGTTTCTTTTTGTTTCAGTGGTGGTCTTTTCAGTGTCTCCTCTGGTGGGAGTAATGGCATCTGATATTTTGCAGTCGCTAGTCATTGGTGTGCCCCTTTTGGTGACGGTGGGAGCACTGCCTAGGTGCCTGGGAGGGTGATTTGTTTCCTGCTCCTCTTGTGTTTGCTGCTGATTCAGCAGCTGATTTCTATATATGTTCTGCTGCTGACAAGCCTGATTATTTACCTGGTGGATGTTTTTCTGGGGCTGTGTAGGTGGGAGGTAAAGACTTTTGGGTGGCTACCTCTTTCTCTTCCATGACCTCTTCCACACCCTCTTTTTTTTTTTTTTTTTTTTTTTTTTTTTTTTTTTTTTTTTTTTTTTTTTTTTACACAGGGTTTGACAAGGTTAAGGATCCCTAGCTTTATTGACAAGCTATTTACAGGTTAAGGATCCCTAGCTGTATTGACAAGCTATTTACAGGTTAAGGATTCCTAACTTTATTGGCAAGCTAAGAGCTGTTACCTACATCAGCTCATTTGTAAGCATTTTTATTGTTATGAGACATACAAGTAGGGAACAGGATGAAGTTGGAGCCATCTGTGGGCCAGCATTTTCATTTGATCAACTGACTTTATCTCGTTGACATCATTATGCTGTATGAATGTGTTCCATACTCGAGTCATCCTGGGTATATAGGATCTCAGATGGAGTGAAGTTCTGGAGAAGGGTACAGCCAGAATGAAGTTGCTGCTTTCTGCCCGTCTTGTGGCATAAAAGCTTGTTTCACGCTGTCCTCGAAGTGGATCCAAGTGTGGTACTTTGACAATACAATGGACCCCCGGTTAATGATATTTTTTCACTCCAGAAGTATGTTCAGGTGCCAGTACTGACCGAATTTGTTCCCATAAGAAATATTGTGAAGTAGATTAGTCCATTTCAGACCCCCAAACATACACGTACAAACGCACTTACATAAATACACTTACATAATTGGTCGCATTTGGAGGTAATCGTTATGCGGGGGTCCACTGTATTGGCCTTGTACATAACAGTAAGGCCACCCACATCCCTCCTATGTTGAAGGCTCTGCTGAAATGACAGATCTATCCAGGATGGGTCCAGGACCTATCAGATACCTCTTCTTATGCTTTGGCCTGGCACTTGTTCAGGTAGTGTTGGTCACCTGATTGTTAGCCACAGCAATCTCTGGTGGAGAAGAACCTGACTCAGGATCAGTAGATGGAACATTGCTGCTAGGTGTAGGAATGGAGCTGACAGATCCAAGGCTTGTTTCATTGTTGGGTAATTGATATTTCCTCTGTGGAGGCCAAAGAAATAGTAATAGAATTTTCAGATGTAATATTCTGAGCTCTTATCAGTCTTTAGAGCCTTAATGCTAACAATTTCACCCAGTTTTTGCTGTTGTATTAATCTGTGTGAATATTCCAGACCTTGTTCAGTGTCAGCATCAGCTGAGCACCCTGTCACTTGTTGGAGGTCTGTTGTGGTTATCTATTATAGTCTGAAGCCATTCTATTGATTTTAGAAGTGATTCCATTTGATGGACTATTCTGGCTTCAGCCTTACGGCACTGTCCAGTAAAGCAGTGTTGATTATTTGAGTGGAGTTCTTGAGGCATCTTTAATCCTTCCTTTTGTGGCACCAAGCTTGCTTCTGGTACATATGCCACAGATTATTGGATACCTTTCAAGTTCATGAGAAGAGCCACTTTCCTACAATGGAAGTCTCCTATCTTGCGTGCAGTGTGACAGTAATTGGAACATGTTTTTTTTTTCTTTTACTCTTTTTCATTTGATTATTATTTTATACCTGGTAAAGTGTATGGTCAAGTTGTTATTGAAAGAATTGAGAGTTAGACGGAGAATGGGATAGCAGATGAACAAGGAGGCTTTAGGAAGGGTAGGGGGTGTGTGGACCAGGTGTTTACAGTGAAACATATAAGTGAACAGTATTTAGATAAGGCTAAAGAGGTTTTTGTGGCATTTATGGATTTGGAAAAGGTGTATGACAGGGTGGATAGGGGGGGCAATGTGGCAGATGTTGCAGGTGTATGGTATAGGACGTAGGTTACTGAAAGCAGTGAAGAGTTTTTACGAGGATAGTGAGGCTCAGGTTAGAGTATGTGGGAAGGAGAGAGATTATTTCCCAGTAAAAGTAGGCCTTAGACAAGGATGTGTGATGTCACCGTGGTTGTTTAATATATTTATAGATGAGGTTGTAAGAGAAGTAAATGCGAGGATCTTGGCAAGAGGCATGGAGTTAAAAGATAAAGAATCACACATAAAGTGGGAGTTGTCAGTTGCTTTTTGCTGATGACACTGTGCTCTTGGGAGATTCTGAAGAGAAGTTGCAGAGGTTGGTGGATGAATTTGGTAGGGTATGTAAAAGAACAAAATTAAAAGTGAATACAGGAAAGAGTAAGGTTCTGAGGATAAAAAGATTAGGTGATGAAAGATTGGATATCAGATTGGAGGGAGAGAGTATGGAGGAGGTGAATGTATTCAGATATTTGGGAGTGGACGTGTCAGCGGATGGATCTATGAAAGATGAGGTGAATCATAGAATTGATGAGGGGAAAAGGGTGAGCGGTGCACTTAAGAGTCTGTGGAGACAAAGAACTTTGTCCTTGAAGGCAAAGAGAGGAATGTATGAGAGTACAGTTTTACCAACGCTCTTATATGGGTGTGAGGCATGGGTGATGAATGTTGCAGCGAGGAGAAGGCTGGAGGCAGTGGAGATGTCATGTCTGAGGGCCATGTGTGGTGTGAATATAGTGCAGAGAATTCATAGTTTGTAAGTTAGGAGGAGGTGCAGGATTGCCAAAACTGTTGTCCAGAGGGCTGAGGAAGGGTTGCTGAGGTGGTTTGGACATGTAGAGAGAATGGAGCGAAACAGAATGACTTCAAGAGTGTATCAGTCCGTAGTGGAAGGAAGGCGGGGTAGGGGTCGGCCTAGGAAAGGTTGGAGGGAGGGGGTAAAGGAGGTTTTGTGTGCGAGGGGCTTGGACTTCCAGCAGGCATGCGTGAGCGTGTTTGATAAGAGTGAATGGAGACAAACGTTTTTTAATACTTGACATGCTGTTGAAGTGTGAGCAAAGTAACATTTATGAAGGGATCTAGGGAAACCGGCAGGCCGGACTTGAGTCCTGAAGATGGGAAGTATAGTGCCTGCACTATGAAGGAGGGGTGTTAATGTTGCAGTTTAAAAACTGTAGTGTAAAACACCCTTCTGGCAAGACAGTGATGGCGTGAACGATGGTGAAAGTTTTTCTTTTTCGGGCCACCCTGCCTTGGTGGGAATCGGCCAGCGTGTTAATAAATAATAAATATTGTTCTTTTGATCTTTTTTTTCTCTTCTTTTTTTCTCTTCTCTTTTTTCTTT